GCCTACCATTGTGTTTTTTTGTTTCATAGCCTTCAGTTATACACACACACACACACACACACACACACACACACACACACACACACTTGTATTACAGATGTTTTAAGATTCAGCAGGCTGGGATATTGTCATAATTCAATGTAGATGTATTCCCAAGAGTCCTTGAACTGAAAAAAAAAAAAAAACAACAACCTGATTCCAACAGACACACCCTAGGGAAGCTCTTTCATAAACTTCCTTTTTTCAAACCCTCTATTCCTCCTTGCCAACATTTTGGCAGACATTTGGACTTCTAAGTTAAATGTACACTAAAAGTAGATATAAAGTTACTATTCTCAATGATACTTTACATCTCAAATAAGAGCTTGAAAATCTAAATCTGCCTAAATCAGTGGAGCATCTCTGCAGAGTGAGCAGGCACCTGCCAATGGGCTGTCTCTGCTTGATGACTATATCTCCCATGAGTACTTCACACTTCCTGCCTTCCTCTACCCTGCTAGTAAATACATAGAGATCAGGAAAGAAAAGGAAATGGAAAGGGACTAGAAAGGAGCCCATCTCAACATCTAGCACTAGGGCTCATTACTTAAATTACAACATATTCACTGAATGGACTCCAAAGTCCTATATACTCAAAAACACCCACACATGCAAACATATACATTACATATGCAAAAAACAAGAGAGGAAAAGAAAAGACTGAAGAGACAACTTCATAAAGCTATAGCTGGTCAAAGACAAAGTAGAATCTGAATTTCAATTAAGGTTAGGCACAACTTATGGAATTGGTTTCATCACTCAAGTGTATATCCCTCAACTATGCTGAAGTCTTACCTATTGTTTTAAATTGATAAATGCTTGATTTTGTTTGTTCTGGTTTCAATTGATCTATCATGCTTCAGATTTGACTGGTTAATTTTTTAAAAAATATTGTATTCATTATTTTTATTTTATGTGTATGAGTGTAGGTTTCCTCCTAACAGTCAGAGAGGTGGTTACTTTGTGGAAAAGGAAGATGGTAGTGATTAATATGGGTGCGTGGAGTCAAGAAGAAACCACTCTAGTAAGGTAACATTTAGGAGACATACTATTGTTCTTTTTATAATTAAGGAAATTCTGGCTTACAAGGCTGGAGTGACTTGCTGAGATTACATAGCAATTGGAAGGGGTGCAGTTCAGCACAGTTACACTTCTATAAGCCTGAGCTTTTACTCACAGCTTAATGTTTTGAGCTTTTACTCACAGCTTAATGTTTTTTAAAGGATAATTTACAAAAAAACTATAGTACATAAAACTCTTAAGTGTAACTTTACTTGAGAATAAAGTTCAATAAACTTTACATATAAAACATTGTTTTGTCTTGATGGTTTCTATGTATAACCTTGTTAGAAAAATATCTTTCAGTCTAAGGCCTAGCTGCTAACAAGACAAGACCAATAAAGGGTGGGCATGGTGGTACATGTCTTTAATCCCAGCACTCAGGAGGCAGAGACAGGTAGATCCCTATGAGTTCAAGGCCAGCCTGGTCTGCATAGCAAGTTCTGGGCCAGCTGTCTCCACAAAAAAAAAAAAAAGAAGGGGCACTTCCATAACTTCATAGTGAAGGGCCTGTTCCTGGAGCTGGCTATAGGTCAGTTAGGAATGATGCTTTTTTTTTCTTACTGAACAAAACAGATACTTCCTTGGGGTCTATGGAAGGGAGCTAAGGTATATGACCATTGAAAGCAGAAGATAACAAAGTACCTTCTTTCTAAAGAGAGACCTGCATGGCACAATAAAGTGGGAGTGTTCACAGATGGCATGTTCTTGTGGGGTTAGCTAACACAGAGGAGAGCTCCCATTGCACCCCAGAGCAGGCAAAAATAGATGCCAGAATGTTGGGCAATTTAAATTTTTTTCTTAGAGCAGCAAAGGAAACTAGAATGAAAAAATTAATTTGATTATACAAAGGTTTAATGATGAAACTATTTGGTATTGTGTCTAAGAGCAGGTCTACATTTATTTCATGGAACATCTAAGTGTGGGTTTGCTGTGTAACACACAGTAATTTGTAATAGTAATTATTAATTATCTTACCTTAAGAATTCATTTTATAACAATCATAGTAACAGGAAAACACCTATTAAAGGCTCTATGACAATCACTGAGTTAACCAGTTAAATGTCCTAAGTCAGTTACTCTCCACAGCCACCCTCAGAAATCAGTGGTTCAGATGTGGAAACTAATACACACAACTGGGCATAGCATAGCTAGAATGTTAGTTCACTGGGTGTCAACAGTTATCTGCTTTCAGATGCCTGGTAGTCAGCCTTTCTATCCTGCTCTGAACCAGAACCACAATTCTCATGGTGGCTAAACAATCTTAATAGAATTTCAAGTTCTCTAGAAAGAAGCCCTCTCTGGATCCCTCAGTCTGGACCTCTATGCTTAATATCCTATAACCCTTTGACCCATGACATTCCAAAGACACCTGGAAATCCATAGACAGGAACTAGCTTGTACACTGTAGATCTCTCCACATGGCACAATGTTGGTGCTCAGTGTTTATGGTGTGAAAGTAAAATAATGTGCTTAATATCAAGAGGCCTGGGGAGACTAGAGAGGAGTTGAAGAACCAACGCAGGGAATGTGTAACTAGAGAATCCATCGATAAAAGATAACAGATGATGTGAAACCTTTCTCGCTTGTGAATTCAAATGGACAACTGTCTTTTCCTTCAGTTTGCTAGGCATCGCTATTATCCACACCAGTCTTCTCTGGCTGGAGGTGTGGCTCAGTGGTAGAGTGTTTGCTTAGCATGCAAAAGGCCCTGGGTTCAATCCCCAGCATCTAAAAGTGGAGTTTTGTTGTTGCTTTTTAAAAGTAGACACAGGCACACTTACTCTTCATTAAAGCATTCTCTGAAGTAAAAAAAAAAAAAAATTAAAGCAGAATAAATTCATGTACTCATTTTTAAAGATTTTTTTTATCAGCCTAGTTATTTTGAGTTGGTATTCTCTAAAAGCTATAAGATATGTCAGTGTCGGGGCCATATGTTGAAAGTCAACAGGATTCTTTTTCTTCTAGCATCTCTCTTTTATTGGCAGGTTTTCCTTGTAAGATCTGTCATCTGGCAGAGCTCATTCTGCAGAGTTGATGATTTTCCATAGGTTATGTTTTCAGGCTGAATCATATCTTTTGTAGTTATAATCTGCTGAAATTCTCATCATACTCGTACAATATTTAAAGTATTTTTTTTCAAAATGTAAGAGTTTTTCACCATATTCACAACTAGACCAATATAAAATTGTCTTGGCAAAATCTTTAATTATAGGGTAGAGGTAATTAGGTTTTAGAACTTAAAATCCCAAATCTACCACAGAGTTGTAAACTCAGAATTTTATGTATTCTTAAGAAAGGTTGTTTGCATCAGCCAAAGGAGTTCACAAATGTTACATTGCGTGACTTGGTTCTGATTTATGGTTGAGATTGTTAGAACTTGTATTTTGCGCCCTTGCTACACATACACACTGTAAATATTGCATAAGAAGATTGGAATGAAAAAGCCATAAAAATAATTGCAGGGTATTATATAATCAGAAGTCTGTTTCTATTCTTTATTAGGCTAGTCTCATCCTACTAAGCAAAATATATGTACTAAGCAAAAATAAAATGAGTTCTAGATTATTTTTATGTTTCTTTACATTTAAGACTTTAATTGCTGTAATTGTAGATCACAATTTTTCTTTAAAAAAAGAAAGCATAAAAGTAGGGTCTATTCAAATAATATAAGAATTCATCTATATTATCATTAAGTCATTTATATGTTTACATATATAAATACACACAGACATACATTTTTTAAATGTTTATTAAATATATGCAGTCAACCCCTGTTTCTGAGGGTTCTGAATCTGATGATTCAACCAACCCAACTAACTGAGAACTGGAAATACCTTCTACAAAACTGAATCTGAACTGAATACATAGATTTTTCATGCCATTATTCTCTAAGCAATGCAATACAATGATTTATATAACATAGACATAGTAATAGGAATTTTAAGTAATCAAAACATGATTTATATAGCGAAGAATGTGCTTAGGCTACATGCAACTGATAATCCATTTCATATGAGGGACTTGAGCAGTAAGACATTTTGCATCTATAGGGATCCTGGAACCAATCCCCCAAGGATGTCAAGGGATGACTGCACTGTATTCAGGGTTCTAGGCTAGAATGCATGGAAATGCAAAGGTGAATGCAACCAATTCTGCCACCAAGAGCTTAAGCTCATGAACACCTGCCCTCCCTACCATGTGTAGTCAATAGTCTATCACCTCCTTTCTGGCCTTGCAGTCTCTTTTAACTATGCTTCTCTTTATGAAGCCTCCCCATTGAAATCTCAAGGCTCCACTTTGATTGTACCTAGCTTCTATTTTAAAACTTTAAATAGAGGCTAGAGAGATGGCTTAGTGGTTAAAAACATTGACTGCTCTTACAGAGGACCCAGGTTCAGTTCACAGAACCCACATGACAGCTAACGCCATTCTTAGCACCAGTTCCAGGGGATCCAATACCTTTCTGGTCTCTGCAGGCATTGTACACATGTACACTTACATACATGAAGGGAAAACATTGACACACAAAATTAATAAAATAAAATAAACTTTAAACAATCTTTTAATGATCAGTAAACCAAGCTGAAACCCTTTCATCTGCCATTTCACACTCAACAATCTTCATTTTTCCTTGAACAGAATTCAAGCTCAACTACCTCACACACTTTCTCAAACTTCCATTCTTCTGGAAGTGACAGTTATGTAAGGCCTACCACATCTGATTTGAACAGGTAGAGACCAATGTAGGTATTCCAGATTGAGGGATACACAAAATGAAGAAAGTATAAAGGATATATCCAGGCTAGCTGTTGTGTCTGATTAGAATATAAAACTGAAAGTAATTATGGAGATAAGACAATGCTAATGAGACTCTAGATCTAGTGTTTATCATTCTCCCTGCCTACTTTAATACTTATATGGCTTTAAAATATGTCCATGGATTCTTTGACACTTTCTTCTAAATAATGTCGAGACTAATTCCATTTCTCTCAAGTGTGGGTTGGACTGAACTGCTAATAAAGCAAACAGAAAGAGGTAACAGTATACAATCTCAAGCATGGGCTGATTAAAAGACTCCTCTTCTCTTCTCTTCCCCCTCCCCTCCCCTTTTCTCCCCTCCCTCCCTCTCTCTCTCTCCACCTGCTCTGGAGACATTCAGGTGCCATGTTGTAAGGATACTCAAGCAACCTATGGAGAGTCCCATGTGGTGGAGTTTCCTGTCAACACTCATGAACCACCTTAGAAATGGGTTGTTTCACCATAAAAACCTTGTGGTGCCTAAAGTCCTTGCCATTAGCCTGACTGAAACCACATTAGAGACCCACATGAACCTGCCAGTTAATCCAGAAAAAAATGTAGTAATGAATTCTTACAGCTTTAAGACAGTAAGTCATGGAGTAACTTAGTATGTAGTAACAAATAACTAATATACTATTTATGGAAAAAGAAGAGTATTAATGGCTTCAGATATAAATCTTTGCAAGAAATAATAATATTAAACTTGTGGAATTACTGATATGATAAATAATCATAATGAAGAACACAGACTATGTTATTTTATTAGTACATATATCCTTAGTCTCAAATACAACTCCTAACTCATATAACAGATTAGTTATTAAATCGATGGGTAGATTCCTTTCAATGGATGCCTCTGAAACAGATTTTCTTATACTGCTTTCATGACCTGGGTTTCTTAGGCAAAATTAGGTAGGGAAAATGGAGATAATATATAACCCTTAAAACCTTCCACATTCAATGTTGTATTGCCTTTTTGTTAAAAGACAATCTACTTTAAATTTTTTATTTATTTTTATTTTATGTGTATGAGTGATTTACTTGTAAGTGTGCCCATGAATGGCCATGAAGGCCAGAAGAGGGTGTTGGATCCCCTGGTACTGGAGTTACAGAAGGTTGTTAGCTGCCATATGGATGCTGGGAACTGAACTTGGGTTCTCTGCAAAAGCGGAAGTGCTCTTAATTGCTGAACCATCTCTCTAGCCCCATGTTGCTATTGATTATTTTTTTTTAATTGTTTTACCTTTCTTTTCCTTTTTCTTTTTAGTCTTTTTGAGACAGGGTCTCCCTGAAAGCCCAGCTAGCCTAGAACTCACTATGTAGACCAGGCTGGCCTTGAACTCACAGAGATTCACCTGCCTCTGCCTTCTGGGTGCTGGGATTAAAGGTGTATGCCACCATGCCCAGTTTTACTTTTTTATTGCAAAATAAAATACAAATACATAAAATTATTTTTTAAAAAAAGCTTAGTGAGTTAGTAAAAAACAAATATCCTTAGAAATAACCAGCCAAGTGAAGAACTTTGGTCACCTAGGCCAGATCCTTCCAGCTGTGTGTGGATATACAGATGTAGTTTGCAGTTCCTTGACCAAGAAATGAAAGTCCAGACTGTTTAGATTTAAGAGAATAGAGGGGAGCATAAAGGTGAATAAGACCTTGGAGAGTTCTTGTCATGAACAGAAGCTATGAGTCGAGTCCAATGGCACCAATAGGTGTCTGCCACCTGTGAATGCCTGTGGGTGAGGCCAGAGTGGTACACGACGTCATGAGTAGAAGACCCTCAGTGTAAACCTAACATGTTTTTAAACTTTTTAAGATATGGATTGAGGAGGGGGGGTCTAAATTTGATTCAGAACTGTTGTATGAAATTCTAAAAGCTCAATAAAAATATAAAAAATAATAAAAATTTTAAGATATGGCATAAAAAAGCAGGAATGAATTTCCAGGTGAAAAGCTGTGATGGTGGTAGGGGTTCAGATTCACACTTATAAACAAGGCAGCATTTCTGCCTTGTAGGTTTTAATTTTGTATAGCTTTATGTTACAAGACCTACTGAAATTAAACTGGCTTCATTCGCTATGTTATTGTCCCATAAGGAAACTTATGTTAGTGTGCTAATGAAGTAAATAAATTAGGTTGAATTTTTAGCTGTGTGTCATCAAGCATTAATTGTTTTACTACAATTACAGATTGGCTGGGTACCCTAGCATAAAACACCGGCCTCATTTACTATAACTCTCAAACATATGGGTCTATGATCTAAAATGGATCAACCATCAGCTCAATATTAGAGCACTGGAATCATTCAACAGGATGATTCTGAAACATGGGAAACAGTAGCCTTGAGTTTGTATCAGTTTTTGCAATACCAATTATGGTAAAGACAAGACTGAATCATTCTAAAACTATGGTAAGTACTTGCTTAACTCTAAGGTTGGAAAACAGACCTTATGCATTCTTAACAAGGCTCGTAAGTCTTGCTCTTTCATGATATAATTATTAATCGGTGCTAGTAAAGTTTCTTGGGAAGGCAATAATATATTTCAAGTGAAACAGCATTGGATAACTCTACCTTGTCTACGAGACAACAGATTCACATGACCACAAGACATGAAGTACTGAACTTGGTTCCACTTGCTGTCAAGTGACTCAGAAGTCACTTAGAATGAGCAGGGGAGTAAAATATGTTGATGGGGCTGCTACTGGGTCCCCACTAAAAGATTCCTCTTATGAAATAAGTATTTTCATAATTTCACTGTATAGAAACTGAAGGAACTTTGTTAGGCAATGACTACGTAATGATGCCAGGAATTGACATTTCATTGTCTCCTGCAAAGAAGCAATGTCTGTCCTACAAGGAACTTCTGAGACAAAAGACTATGGTAGAAGGAACATGGGCTGAACAAGACTAACTTGGGTTGGAACCCATGCCATA